GCTCCTCCTCCTGCGCCTGCGTTCTTTTTTTGCTTCTGCTTCCGGACGTTTTTCTTTCACTCAGCGGCTCAGTTGACTTTGCGCGACGAAGAAACCCTAGAGATGATGCACGACGTTGATCCTTGAGATGGCCGTTGCCGTTCTCTGTGATGGGAGGAAGTGTTTCTGACGAAGGCTGAGTCTGCCCAGGAGTCCGGGGTCTCGACGCGGTTGCCATTATTATTGGTGTTAATCCGACAGGCCCTCTTCCTAATGATCACTGACAGGCTGTGGTTCAGTTGAAAAGTGGGGAAACTGTGATTGAGGAGTGTCTCAGATATAGAATTTCTCACCAATAGTGGGACGTTTCACCAACCCTCTTTATGTTACTTCAGAATGACAGCGGTTTGTCCCTGATGTAATTTCAAAAGTGTTAAAAGCTGCGGATGCGCCTGTAGAGTAGATGCTGTATGCAAGTCAGCCAGAGCAATCATCCGAATTGCGCTTTTATTACAGGAAAGGAAGTTGTTGGTTCATCCTTTGAATTTATCGAACATTTTTACTCCTATTTCAGACCGACGTCACTGACCTTGTATCAATTTGATGCCAATTGACTCTGTAATTAGCGTGCCAGTGCGTATTCCTCCACGTGGGAATTTGATCTGGGCACGTTCTTGTCGACGTCTCTTGCGGGTGCAGCAAAGTTGTCGTAAACAATACGGAGTACCGGCGGGTGAAATGACGTCTTTGAAGCAGTAACAGATCAGAGACAGGATGCGCTGGTCGGAATTTTCTGAATGCCTGGATACACGACTTCGAGAAACGAATGAATGATGATAAGAAACCCAACTGAGTAGGGATCAGGAGGGTCCGATTTTAAATGACGTTCACCAGCCCAGCAAGTGATTTGTCGGAACCAGCCCCAAGTCTGTGCTGGAGGAGGGAAAATATGGAGAAAAGAGCGATTGTAAGTTTTGACAAGAGACTTCGAATTCTGCTGATGAAGCTTCCTCCTTTGATATTCAAATTTCCTTTTTGATTTTTCTTTCTTTTTTTAGAATTTTTTCTTCCTTTTTGTGTGCCTTCCTAGAGGTCAAAATGAAGCGGATGATGCCTGCTCACAGCGTCCGACTGATGCGGCGCTTGGATAGAAAATAAGGATCCAAGAGAAAGAAGGAGAGTTGGAAGGATAGAAAAGAGAAAGGAGGTTTACAGGACAAGAATGAATTGAGATGGAGCAGGTCGATGGCGCCCCAGACTGACGATGATCAGCCCAAAAGAACAGACCGCGATAACAATCTCTTCTCCCAAAAAGGCTCCTACGCAGTTACCTATCCGTTCCTCTTTTGTCCAGTTTAGAACTCTGGGTTTCGCTCTACAAGGCATGTACAAAGCTTGCTAATGTTACTTTACTCTATATCTACGGATTCAATCTTCCTCTAATCTGGCTCCTTGGTTGTCCAGCGCGTCGTACTGTTCTTTTTTACTTTTCTCTCTTTTCCAAGCAGCTAATGCATTGAGGACCTTTTGGAGCTCGACTATGGTAGATTCAGGGGCAGCAGACACTAGCAAATAATAATCTCACCAGGGGCTCGACTTTCGAACCCTCCCCACTCAGACGAACCTACTGGCTAAGAGTTAGGTTCCGTTACTGGTCGCGGACTCGTGCTTGCCCCGTCTTCGGTCTTAGTGGCTGAGCTGCTGGAGCTTTAGCTTAGGTGCTTTACGGAGGGGCACACTGACCGAGCAATTTCATTCGCAGCTAGCTAAATACTCAGCATTCACCAGCACAACGGCATCTGAGAAGATTCAGGGGCCACGGCAGTCCAGCATGAAATGACACCTGAAAACGATCATTGTTTTCAGGTTGCTCTTATGAAGGCCCATAAATAAGAAGTATGAAGAGGTGATTATTGTGACGAGCCACCACCTATACTTAATCCCTCCTTGATGCACCCACATCACCAACGTTCATGCAGATTGATCCATCAGATGGCAGACATTGTTGATTATCTGGACTATGTCTGGTTCCGATTTTTACGTGCTTTATTACTCCGTCCCTAGTCAGGGGTCATTGCCTTGTCTGGTTTAGCTTGCCAAGAAACCACGCAATACAGGAGAGAACAGTCGAGAGACGTGAGATCACGTGGTGGTGGCTCTCTACCTCTCTACTTAGCCTCTAATGAGGAAGATTATCATGATCTGTCCTGGAACCCCAAGCCCCCACTCTGCTTGAGTGTTTTGATTCTGACTGATGTCTGGCTGGAACAACCATAGTTCCCTTCATACGACGGCCTTAGGCCTTAAGACCTCGTGTATGACCAAGCGGTGATGGAAATTCATTTAGGAGCGTGGACAATAACGCTCACTGTTCGGATAATACCCTAATCATGCTAATATTACCATTGACCCCAAAAACCACGAAGCAACTGAGATCGATATCTTTTCCAAAGCGATGAGGAATATTCGAAGTACCACGTCCTTTGGACTGTGAAAGTCACACATTCCCAGCATTGGCGCAATTCCACTTCAGCCACAATGAGTTCCAGGTTCCCTTAGTGTCCCTGATGTCAAGCGATCGCACCTTAGCAATCAAATATTCAAGCGCAAGCTACCTGCTTCGGAAATGATTCAGTCATAATCTTCGTAAGTAAAGCATGCTCACCCTTCGTGATTCCACATTTTTTGTCTACATAGTGCCCCATTCTACTTTGTAGTCTAGGACGTAAGAACAAGTGAATGTTTTGGGGCTTATGCAATCACGATCTTGGCCATCGACAGCCTCCACCGCGCCCTTAAAAATGGGCCGTGGAAGCTTCAACTCTTTGTCTCCACAGTCATCAAGCCTTAGATCCCGCATTCCCCTTCCATTACTGATCACTCTTGCTCTGCCGATGCTGTTCTCCATACTCGAAATGGGAGAACAATGCATGGGTTGTCCGCACACACTTGGTCACGAACAAGCCTCTTGAATTTCGGTCCATTTGGTCCCCCGCTGTACTTCTTCTGACCGAATAGCTCAGGCCCACCCGGCAATGCATCATCTCCCCACTGACCGTTGAAGTTCAACCAGTTAACGGGGTAGCTAGGGTCATAAGGCCGAAAGGTCCCGCTGTCGGCATCGTAGCTATATGCATAGGCGCTCAGTATGGGATCCCACAACAACCCGCGGTCAGTGTGGTCAACAACAAATCCGGCGGGAAGATTGAGATGAGGAATCGTATGGTCATGATCGCTGCGCAGGGCTCACACTCCTTAGCACGCGCCGTCATCCTCAAGGTTATGCGTCGGTCTACTCACCCCGCCATAACGTAAACAGCGTGCGTGCCTTTTGCCGAGTATGCATATGGCCGCTTGCCTTGTTTCTCAGTCGCGTCGTACGTGAAAGCTTGTCCTCCAGCATGCTGACTGTACCAAATCGCTTGGGGGCTCCCATTCGAAAATCGGATCATATTGTGCTCCCTAGATTGCATGAGTTGTGCGCAAATGCTGATTTTGACTCGACGTACCAGTCCCCGACGTGATCACCAAATTCCATACCGAGAACAGTGTTTCCTTCGTTATACCTTTTGAATTCATGAGTCTGTCACGATCGTCACCGAACATATCGGCCATGACTTACGCATAGAAGTAAAAATAAAAGGCATCCACCGTCCCATTATTATGATCACGAATAATAATCGTTGAGGAGACTGCGCCGTTCGTCTTGCCTTGTTGATCTGGAGCGGTCCCCTTGAACCACGCCGGCTGCGGAGAAGCGTTGATACCTTCATGGGATGTCAAGTAAACGCTTGTGTTGCCCAGACTGTTCAAGCTGTCGAGGTTATCAAGAGTCAAGGGTGACTGGACCCCTTGGACTGGTTTATAGTCAACCATTGGCGTAGTATGTACAAGTTGCTCTCCAATGTCGGAGGGCAAGTACTCATCTTGGCTATGCAGCCATACAAGAGGCGCTACGCCATTGTCAGAGGTCGAGAATCATGTTCGATTGCTGCAGACACACGCACCATATTCTAGCACGAAACTTGGTATGTTTGTTGCCGCGATATCTTTCGTAAATGTATCTGCGGTCGCGACTGCTGCCTGTAGCATATTCCACGCAAAAACAAACGTCCATGCAGCCCGCATATTGGTAAGACAGAAGCAATCGACGATCTAAGTCTAGGTTGTGGGTAATTTTCAGTTATCGGTTCAATATCATTTTAGAGACGGCCGGCAATTTATAAGTTAGAATGGGTGTCGAGAAGTCAGGGCTGAATGATCATCAGTCCCCCAGGAATTCGCCGTCCTGGCCACCTCTCGAATCTAGAGTACATACTATTTCACGCTGCAGTTGAAGCTAGACTCTAGAGTCAAATTCTGTTGCAGCTGACAGGCCATGAGAGCAAGCAGGAACCATCCAATCAACCTCGTGTGAAGACCAGAAGATCTGAGCTACAGCTACAGTTCGTCCGTACATGGCTTGGATCAATAAGTGGTTCTGAGGGGTCATTCCAGGGCGAACAATAAGCATGGTGCGGATGATGCAGTCAAGAATTCCAATCAATACCTGGTTGATTGTGATCGTCCAGTCACGTTGGCCTCAGGTTACATTGTGAAGGATCCTGTGATATTGTTGGTCAACGACATCTGATTGATTGTGAGTTAGTTGACTCTTTAGTTACCGTCGTCGCCATCAAGTCATCAGATAAACTACCTAGCCAGATGACCATCTGTTCTCAGAAAGGTAAGGGTCGTATTACAGGGTTTCACTTCATCATTTCGGCGCCTTCTAATTCAGGTTTCTCTTCGATTCAACCCAGGCGATATTTAACGGGCAGTTGACTATAGAGACTTTGTTTATGTATTAACAACATAAATAAATAGTCCTGCAGACAGTTTTCAGACAGGTCCACCGACTTATGGTGTCCTGTCCGTGAGATCAGCCTTCTGAACGACCAGTTCACTAAATTGATCCCATATTCACAGATCAGCATGACGGTATTGATCTACAGCTTTCCAGTGTCCTGCACAGCTTCCAGCTATTTCTTCTTCTCCGCCTCTCGCATCTGCTTGAATACCGTCAAATCTAACGGTATCCTCTCTCCAAGCCATGTAGCACGTTGCGTATGATTCCGTTCTTCCTCTGAATCGATCGTGTTTGGGTGTATCAAGGCACTCAACGGACCCCTATTGATAACTAGCCAAGGTACAAACGCACCGAACTGGGCAGGCGTGAAGACGTTGACTTCGAACATGGCGACCGGATGAGGCCCAATTGGCCTGTTGAAGAAGGTATAAATGCGAAGCTCGGGGACTGCATACTATCAGTCATTTCCGTACTTTGACTTGGAGATAACCAGATTTTCGCAAAAAGCTCGACACCACGGGAGAAGCGCCCTTACATTCGCGTCTGATCCTTTCATGTAGAGCTCTGGCGTATGCGACTTGATCTGGATTATTCTAATGGCGGAAGATCAGTTATTGCTGAAGAAGTCACCAATAATTTGAAGGGTTTCTAACCTGAAAGTGATAGATATGGATATCAAAACCTCCACGGCGACCTTTAGCGAGAGGGTCGGGGAATTCCTCGTATGCTTTACTTAAGATTCCATGTTGGGGGTTCTTGAGGGACTTTCCATCCTCGGTCTTTCCACTATCAGAGTCTCGTTAGTTTCTCGGTCTCTTGCCTTATGCGATATTTGACTCGGACTTAAACCTGAGACTCACTCAGTCAATGGTTCGAGGTTTTCGTAGCCCTCAAGTGGAGACGGGTATGAGAAAGCAAATTGGTCCGTCATCTCTTGTCAAGGTGATAAAGATACTTAAATGAGTAAATGTGTGCAAATATTCTATGTCTTATTCGTTCAAGAGTTTGCGCGAGTCTCTCAAAGATCTGGTGTTGAAACAAAACGACAGGTCCGAGGTGGTTATATATCTAATAGAGGTGAAGGTTCCACACTTGACCATGCAATTACCAGAAATATGACGGGCATGTGATGATTGACAATTCTGGTTGACTAATTCTTAGAAATTCGAATGCCATGAGAAATATGGTGCAATATCCCTGGTACGCAGAGAGCAGTCCCTCTGCTGTCTGCAATTCCGCACCCTGACAAAGCCGCGGAATGAACATTTATCTTACCAGATGGGTAGAGCTTAGGTGCTCAACTGGACAAATTTTTTAGATCTCACATTGATTATCTTTTACACGTTAGTAGCCTAAATAACTGCGACTCGGATATGGTCAGGCTCATAATATGGTATTAAGTTTGTCATTAATAGCTCGTATACCCTCAATCGGCTGAATGCAGTTGTGTTATATTCTGACAGGTCACTACCGCAACTACAGTCTCAAGTAAAGGAGACGGCCCACTCACTGCTTAAATTCATGTTCATAATCATACACAACGAGCTAAATTGTTCATAACGCCTAGGTTGCATGTATGCTATTCCCCCGAAGCCATACCCATACAGAAATACTCAAACCCCCGTACTCCGGTTGCTGAATGGAACCCCTTCGCTGTAAACAATGCTACCACAAAGCCTTGACATCGATATGTCCCTCATCATTAACAAACTTTCCCCGATCCCATTCACGATCCTCGCCTTTCTTTGACCATTTCACGTCTTCAAGTCTGCCTTCATCATCGCCACCGCTTGTGGCTGTTTTACTAGAAGTGCTCTTCCATCGATCAACGACGGCATCGTTGAAGCCCGCTTCTCGTAGTCGTTCCTCTCCCTTTTGCTTCCAACGAGCACGGTCGCGGAGCGCCTCGAGGGCGAGCTCCCAGTCATCTTCCTCCGTTGTAAGACCTGCAACAGGACGTCGGGAGGGCCCTTTGCGCTGATCTCGATCGTCATCTTCCATATGGACATCCAGCGATGGATCGTAGTCGGGAGCAAAATGAGCATCGATATTGCTCATGTTGGCTTTATAAGCGCCCCGACCACGAGAGCGAATTGGCCCCGAATCGCTGTCGACACCATGCTTAGGAGGTAGTGGTCCCACCAAATCCTCGAGCGGATCAGACTCAAACCCAGATTCTCTTCTTGGAGGAGGTGGTGGTCTTTCTCTCTCGTGTGCTGTGGAGTGTGCACGTGTCGCGCGATCATCGCGTGAACTGCGGCGAGTGTCGTATCTTGTATCCTCTCCACCTTTTCGATTCCTGTGCCTGTCTGGTGATGGGCTGCGCAAGGGGGACAATGAGACTGTGCGTTGACGACGTCGTCTGTAGCGATCGCGAGAATTCGAGGCATTATCATCTCGTGGGGAGCGGCTACGTGAGTACGAGCGGCGGTGATGTTCTTTCCTTGAAGATCGATGACGCTTTTCACCAGTGTCGTCAGATCGGTGGGTTCGTCGGTGTCTGCGGGGCCGGTCTCTGTCCGAGGACGCTGAACGACTCCTGTGGCTTCTCCTATGAGGGCGATGCCTTGATTCCCGACTTTCTTTTGTGTCTCTCCGTGACTCCAAGTTGTCCGACGGGCGTCGGGATCGAGGACGGTCGCGTCCTTTGGTATCATTCGTAGAGGAAGACGAAGCTTGGCCACGTAGTAGTCGCATTCGTTCCCTGGCTTCCTTCTCTTCCTTCCGCTTCAATGCAGCATTATGGCTGTCGGTTTCCTTTATGATATTGCGTAGAAATCTCGTATTCGGTTTAGGAGCTGCAGCCGTAGGTCTGCGAGGCGATATACATCAACACCACGCCAATTATAGTGGAACTCCACTTAAGAAATCGTACCTTCTAGGCAAATAAGCACCCAATCCTTGAGCAGGATATTTCATCGAGCTGTCACGAGCCTCCTGGGCTAACACTTGTGCAACATAGTCGTTGCTCAGTTCGTCGTTCGTTCCTCCAGTGTTTGAAGGCATGATTGCGGGCGAAGGAAGGAAAGCGCCGATTTGCGCTCAAGTGGGCAATGAGGTGCTCCTTCAGAATTCAAGTTTTTTCAGCCAGCAGACAGTCTTCGCGACATCATTCATACGAAAAAAGACACTTAAACCAATTGAACTGAGGAAATATAAATGTATTGTCTATCCGCGCATGGCCAGTGCCAAATAAAGTGAGGGCAGTGACTTCACTTCTGGCTGGGGCAGCCGCGCTAAACGGCAATCAAAGGCGGTGTCCCTCAGGATTGCCCGATAAGCTTTTGTTTACTTTCCTGTTATCTACCAGCCAACGCGCAGTCAAGCGTATCCGTTCAGAAGATACCTGGTATTCAGGCAAAGAAGACTTTCATAATCCAACTCAGGACTTAAATATAGGATTCATGCCTATTGCTGCCAAACGTACCTCATTGAGAAGAGACCACTTGAAGAATGACCGATCAGAGCCCCGCTGAAACACTTGAGCAGCTCCGACAATTGGAGCAAGAGAATGGCGACCTGAAGACTCGTCTTGCCATCATACGCATAAGCGAGCCTATCTCTTCTTCAGAAGACGAAAAATCCAATCCATCGCCGTCCAAGCGTACCTCTGACGTTTCTGCCATCGATAACCCCACACCTGCTTCCCTGGAGGCAGATTTGACACACTACAAGGTACGGACAAGTGGACTTCACCTCTGCATATGCTATATCCTTATTATAAATTCTCTGACTTGTACGAAAAGGAACTGTTCTCGAAATTGCGCTTTTCCTATGTTGAGCAAGTAACAAAAGAAAAGTTCCTACGAGCAATCGTGGGCGATCCTCCCCTGGTCGTTGGTCACAATGAAAATGTGGAGATGGAAGCGCAGTTAGCAGAGGTGAAATCTGAGCTCAAGTCGCGCAAGGAAGAAGTCAGGATCATGATTGAAGATATGGAGAAGATGGGTCGGGATCTGGCGAGTCGTGAGTTCCTTTTGCCCATATGACACGAAAGCGGCGCTAAGTATTATTTCGACAGGATACAAAAAAGTGCAACTACAGATGACACAACTTTCAACACTCCCGGAATCAATAGAGAACCTTGAATCCACGATTGCCGGACTACGAGCGAAACAGGTCGTCACGATGGGCGCGTCATCTTCCCAGAACCTTCCACTGCCAGCGACACTGTCTCTATTGGCCGAGCGTGAGGCGGAACTTGCAGCATTAAATCGGCAACTTGCCGCAGTACAGAATGCTCTGCCACGCAAGACCAGAGAAGCCGAAGCATTGGAAAGAGAATTGAGTGTACTAGAGAGACGCAGGAGCGAAGCAACTGCACAAGCACGGGAGGCACAGAGAATGAAACAGGAAGGCAAGAGCGACGGCCTCGAAGAGTTGGGCAGGTGGTACAGGAGCGCAGAGGAAACACTGAAAAGTCTGGTGGGTGTTGAGGGATGAGACCAAAGGCTGGATGATTGATGACTGGATTTGTATTATGGCGGCGTCGCAGGTTCATAATTCGGGTGTATATATAGGCGAAAAGGGTGGTATTCTAAATTTACAGCACAATGGTACAACTTGGGTCTCGAAATGAAGCCGTTAGGCTATCTAATTCATTGACGTGCATGATCATACAACATGATACGCTATGCTGCAGACACCATGGAACCCCTCATGATTTTGATTTCCAAAACGAGACCCGTCCGTACTCCTGATTTTTAGTTAAGGCACATTTACTCCTCGTCCTCCTCAGCCTCCTCACCGTCACCGCCAGCAGCGGCAGCAGCCTTCTTGCGCTGGACACGGCCGGGGCGGCCACCACCGTAGGGGGAGGTGAGAGCGAAGTCAATGTGCTTCTGGGAGTCAAGGCGAACCATGTAGGAAGGCACGTTGACGATCTGCTTGCCGACACTGTTGGTTAAAATAGGTTAGTATTGTTTCCTTAGCGCTATCGCACGGTGGGCCATACCGGATGTGACGCTGCTTGATCAGGACACGAGCGTGATGGATGGACTTGGCAAGACCGAGCTTGTAGACACAGGTCTGCAGACGACGCTCAAGGAAGTCCTCGACACGGAGGGCCAGGACGTAATCGAGCTTCATGCGGGACTCATCGAGCACACCAATGCGGACCAGACGACGAATCAAAGCGTTACCTTCGAAAAGACGCTTGGGGTCCTTCTCGTCGAGGGTGAGAAGCTCACTAGACGGGAATATGTTAGTCACTGCTCTCAATTGTCGCAGGGCTGACAAAACGCATACCGAGCAGCACGACGGATCTTGGACAGGGTGAGCTGGACACGCCACACCTCACGCTTGTTGCGCAGGCCGTACTCGCCGACAATCTTCAGTTCCGAGTCACTATCGACCAAAGGTTAGGCATGGAACACACGACTTAAACAGAAGCACGCTTCTGATCAGTGGCCGGAGAGTACTAACAGACGAGCCGACTCGAAAGCTGAACACCAATTAGCGTTTCATTCGGAATTTGATGAATTTTCCATTATTGGACATATTAGAAGTACTTACGACGACGAGGGACCTTGTAGGTCTTGGAGTAAACGCGACTGTAACGCAGAATCGGTAATTAGAACGATGCGACTTCATTTCGCACTCATCGCAAGGCATATACTCACGGGACGGGGGCCATGGTTGCTGATTGCGCGTTGTCGTGATGTTGTCGAGCACACCAAACTTCACGAAGATCGCAAAGTTCAGAAGTGAGGATGCTGTATGGGGAGGAAACAAGCGAGGAGAAAAGTGGAGTCTAACCGTGTTGAGATTAGGGCTAGGGCTAGCCCTGGCGGCGCACCAAGCACCCGAGGACGTTTGACACCATCACCAAGTGCGGCAGAAGGAGGCATTTCTTCGTTGTCGACAATTTTTCAACACCAGCACCACCTATACCGCAAAAATGGGTCACTCCCACGGTTTGAGATCGGGCACTCGCGTATGTTCATGCGATTGATTCATATCGACGCTGTTTTCGCGGGCTGAAACGGAGCGCTGACGATGGTTATAGTATGCCTTCAGCCGCGGCTTCAAGGAGAACGGCATGATCCGTCTGTCGACCTACCTGAAGACTTACCGGTACGAACCAGACATTCGAAGATGATAATGGAGAGAAGTGCGAGCAGGATCTGATTGTTGTTTTCATAGGGTTGGCGACATTGTGGATATCAAGGTCAACGGTGCCGTTCAGAAGGGGTCAGTACAATTTTCGCCCGCTGCAGTTACGAGGAGTCCGGAAGGCGCGGCTTATGCGTGATTGTGGTGGAAAATTTGAGGATTTGCTTGCTGAAATTTTGGAACAGTATGCCCTACAAGGTCTACAACGGTAAGACCGGTGTCGTCTACAACGTGACCAAGTCTTCCGTCGGTGTCATCATCTACAAGGTTGTCGGCAACCGCTACATGGAGAAGCGCATCAACGTTCGTATCGAGCACGTCAAGCACTCCCGTTCCCGTGAGGACTTCATCAAGCGTGTCAAGGAGAACGCCGCCAAGAAGCGCCAGGCCAAGGAGCAGGGCATCCACCTCCACCTGAAGAGACAGCCTGCCATGCCCCGTGAGGGCCACGTTGTCGAGGGTGTTGCCGCTGAGACCATCACCCCCATCCCTTACGACACCCACATCTAAACGAATGGATATGGTCGACGCGGTTGTTTGGTGTTTCTGGGTTTTTCCGTCTATGGGTGGACTTTGCATTGAGACGAAGCGATAAAAATTAGGGTTCTCAGATGTTCTGGCACATGTCAAGCCTGTGCATAGATTCCCCTCAATGAAAGAAAAAAAAGACAAACCTTTCGATTCCCCCTTTGAAGAATCAGTACGATTTAGATATTTTGGGTCGAACGGGTTTCTGATAGGCACCTATTGGCCAATCTACCAGACAACTTTAGCGCCCAATAACTCCTGCGATATTGCTGTTTCTAGGAGTAACACTCAATCAATGCTTGGGTAAATATTTCTCAAGAACATGTCATTCACTAGAGATTCTCCGTTCCGTAGGCGTAAGCAATTGTCATGCCCACTGCAACGAGGTAGCATCGACCTGAAGCGGCGCCTCTACCAGCGCCACCGAGCGCTGAATCAGAGTGGAAATATGCATGGAACCACTAGAGCTCAGGTAGATACATTGGAGCAGCCAAAGAATGACGCTATGAGACCTTATATTCTTCGTGAATAAAATAACCAGTAGTTGTTCCTGCATTAGCAGTTAAAGCGGCGACAGAAGAGATTGCCAATCGGCAGTGGCAGAGAGATCCGCCCGGAGGTTCCGCTCAGGCAAAAATAAGCTGTCGCCAAAAAAAAAATTGAACTCGAACGTATCATCCTCGTCGCCAGTTACACCTCCTTATTTAATTCGATTTGGAATTTTCAGAATCACTTCGTACACTACTTCTGGGATTTTTGCCTCTTCATGGCTATCACTGCCTAAATGCCACTGCTTTCCGTGTCAGACCGATCTTTGCCGTATTCTCCATCCCGATAATACCCCAGGCCTTGTTGATGCCTCTTTCAGCCACTTCTCACTCCAGCTCTGCGCAGGCGCATCTGGAAGCAAGAGAATCTGCAGCCATTGTTGGTCAAAATCTCATGCTACAGTCAAGGGAGACTGGCGAAATTCTACCGCAAGGGACGCAGCCGTTCATTCAAGATGTCGACAAAAAGAGCCAAGCGAAGCCTTTCGCCCATTTTATCGCTGGCGGGTAAGAAGAAATTATAGTTCTATGGTGATTGAGATGAATCTCGAAGCTAATGCGATAGATCCACAGAATTGGTGGAATGACGGCCGCGACTCTTACCTCTCCTCTTGATGTCCTGAAAACCCGGTTACAGTCCGACTTCTACCAAGCCCAGCTCAAGTCTCTTCGTGCCGCTCACCCATTGCCACCATCTAACTCACTTGCTTCGCTTCCACGGACCGCTATGATGCACTTTAGCGAGACCTTCCAGATCTTGCGCTCGATACATGTCCATGAGGGCTGGCGCGCACTGTTTAAGGGCCTTGGACCCAATCTCATTGGGGTTGTTCCGGCGCGTGCCATTAACTTCTACGTATATGGAAACGGAAAGCGGATACTTAGCGACTACTTTCATTACCACGATTCCAAGGAGACGCCCGTCGGAATTCATCTGACGGCGGCCGCCGTAGCAGGAATTGCAACAGGAACGGCCACCAACCCAATCTGGCTGGTGAAGACACGCTTACAACTAGACAAGTCTAACGCCGAGATTGGCAAGGGCCGTCAGTATAAGAACAGCTGGGACTGTATCAAACAGACGGTGCGCCACGAGGGCATTCGAGGCTTGTATAAAGGACTTTCCGCATCATACCTCGGCGTGACCGAGTCAACTCTGCAATGGGTGATGTACGAACAAATGAAGATGTACTTAGCGCGCAGGGAAGCAGCGAAGCGTGCTGATCCCAATCACGTCTACAATATCTGGGACGACGTGGAGTTGTGGGGTGGTCGAATCTGCTCCGCGGGCATGGCGAAACTGATTGCTGCGGCCGCCACGTACCCCCACGAAGTTGTCCGAACGAGGCTGAGGCAAGCCCCCACTGTATCTGTGGGGGATGGCAAGGTTCAGATGAAATACACCGGTCTTGTGCAGTGCTTTAAGACTGTGTGGAAGGAGGAGGGTATGGTCGCATTGTATGGCGGTCTCACACCGCATTTGCTGCGTGTGGTTCCGTCAGCTGCCATCATGTTCGGAATGTGAGTATCTGTTGTCCCTGCTTGTTCAGATGATCAGCCTCTAACATCATCGCTTTAGGTACGAGGTGATTCTTCGCGTTTTCGGAACGACTTCATAAATTACCCCAGGTTGTCCTCTCTACTTTGGAGCGCAGACAAGATTGTCTTTGAGCGTAAAACTTGTACTTTATCTGACCCCACTTTTTACTGGTGTTATTATTATTGACTAGAAGGGTCAACTGCATGTATATGGCGCAATTCTTGGATGGTTGCTGCTCGGCTCGGCGTCTTCACTCTTCTCTCACATTTGATCTAATACAAGGCTGAGAAACCACTTCGTTGTAACTATATGGTGGGGTTGTTGGACCAGGGTAGAATCAGCCGTAGAGAAGTGTCTCCTAACAAGAGAGCTTGATTGGGAAGATCAAATATTAACATGCTATAGTCGGTAGCTTCTTGAATTCGTGTTGCTCAATATATCTAATGCAGGTACGGAGTACCACTACCACTGATGTCCACACCAACCCCATCAGCGTACACAGCATCAAATCATTATATGATTTAGAAAATCTTGCTCTCATCCCTCTAGTTGACTGATGAGTATCTCAGTACGCATATATCAGATTTTGCTACATCATGCTCTTGTGTGTGCTTATTAGATAGATAAGTAGTCTTGTGAATGTCTGTCACACAAGAAATATATCCAGGTACCCTCTCAGTAGTGGTTTAAGCTCCCTGTAGAACGTGCAACCTATTACGTACACATACTTTAAATCGTATGCAGCAAGGAAGCCAATAAAAGTAATGATGATGATCCAACTAGGTACCTTACTGTTATTGTATTACTACATCTCAACAGACTTAACTTATCACCTTTTTTTATTGACTAACACCAACACTATCTTTGTGAAATCAACAGGCAACGTCACCGGTACCAGAAGTGATCCAATATCTAGGCTAAGGCATGGAATTCGCCTCTGCAAGCGAGCTGATTGCTTTTAACCCTCCGTCTAATTTACGAGTCAACCAGATCATTCAGGTCTGATTGTCGGTTGCCTAAGCACTCAGCAAGGGCAAGGCTGACAGATCCTGCCAGGGACCAGCGGTCAAGCACACAGCGAGTCATGGACCCGAGAAAGTGGACGACCGTTTTGGTGCTTCCAGAAGGTGAGCTGAACGAGAAAAAGAAAAACTAGCATGATCTCAACAGGGGAGACGTAGTGAGGGGCATGAACAACTGAACGACTTGTTGCTGCTCGCCGGCTTTGAGAAAGGAGTCTAAGGTAAGTATGACCAGGCCAAGCCAGTACTGAAGCTTGCAGCTCACCATTATCAATTGGTGAATGATGATCGGAGTATGTGCTTGCTCCAAGAATCCATTACCCATTACTGTGATCATCCCCCAAATAGGTAATGCCAGGCCAGTAGGTAGTTTCCTGGGATACATCCGGCCAGAAGGTAATGTGACCAAGATGAAACGGGATTTTGGAAAAGTTGCACCAGAGGGAAGCTATCTGTATCGTCAACAGATAGTTCTGTTCACACTCGGAGCTGTTGCCTTGTTCTGGGCCAGTATTGCCCTCGATATGTCACTCTTGCACCTATTCTGTGCAGTATCGTCCAGGCTTCGTTCGAGTTTAACCTAGTAAAGGCGAAGAGGAAGGTTTCCGTATTTTGTCTTTTTATCTGAACATCTCCTCAACATTATCCCTAGCGATGAGATGCTTCCTATAAGAAGGTCACCTTCCTCCGTGCGGAGGGAGCTATAGCATTCAGACAGGACTCTTCTCCGCGATACAGACTCTTTACTGAGAAACAGCTCGCCTGGTATTGAGCTCTCTTATCCCCTTGCTGTATCCGACCCTACCCAATTCCTATCACGACCCTGTCGTGTAAGATTATTCCAATGTCAACCAATCCAAGGTAGTCGGTCCCAGCTCTCTTCCTCTGAGTTCGCCGACCTTTTGCTTTCAGCCTTCTCAGGCTAACTGAGTTTCTCCAAGACACCAAAAGCCTTACGCCACTCAGCAACAAATGGACCTTCTACATATCGGCTCCTGGACACACCGGTATGACACCACCGCAGCTCCTCAAGGCATTCTTCGGTCTCCTGGTGGCAAAAATCCTTTGTCATACTTGCAAAATCAAAATAAGAATAAAGTTCCTCCAATGCTGCAAGCTATGCTGGACCAGTCTCCAAAGGCAGACCCTTGGTCGCCAGTCACGATGCAACAAAAGCGAAACCAAAAGTTGTCATTTTGATCTAGTTTTCCAACCTTTCTTGTATCCTCACCTTCGGTCTTCTCCTTTCTTTTGTATCTAGTAGGTCTCCTGTTTGTCTGAGTAGACTGCTTTGTATTTGGGTGACAGAGACTAAAAGCATTTTAGATATTTTTGTCAGTCCCTAGTTGCTGTCGCGTCTTACACTCCGACTTCCCAAAAGATACTCTGATTGGCATCAGTCCTCCTAAGACCTATACTTCACCCAGATACCTATCCCAAGCAAGCTTATTTGCTGCAATTTGACCATTGTAGACCTGCTTAGGGTCGGGTCAGCCGTTGCTTGACGAGTCAGGCTGCGTGGATCACGAAACTATTGTCGAGGGATCTTTCATCCGACAGTGATAATATATGTCACAGTACCTTGACTCACCCAGAAACCACACCGCAATCTCTCTTCTGGTTTCGACCTAGTCAGGCGTCTACTGGAGTTCTGCAGGTTGTCCCGAAATCTATAGTCCATCTCTCGCGTCCCGTAGTCCTGGTTTCCATCCAGCCTTGCACCGCCCCTAGCGAGGTTCATGCCCAAAAGGACCCTGCGCAGCTTAACTCAAAGAAAAGACTAAGAAAATACTTTACCCAGAGCGCCGAGTTTGGACATGGCTGATGTATGGAATCGCTTTTCTTCAGAAAGTGTAATCCCGGGGTTAGATCTGTAGTCCACTTTCGGTTAGATTATTCTTTTAGTAACTGATTTCTTCTGCCTCTTTTCTCTCATACAGATGTATTTTCCCTTTTCTCGTGATGTGCATTTTAGAAGTTTCGAGTATTTTGGAAAGCTCGCTTTTGAGCAGCTGAGAGAGCCTTTGGCAACCGTTGAACATGGAAAAGAACCTAACAAAAGCTACATACTAGCAGGGATGTGATCATGTGGGACTGTGAAATTAGGTTGGCCCTCAATCTACCTTGATGATCAGATTTATATTTTCCTTTAATAAGGAACTATTTTCTTTTCTAACTCCAATGTATTCTTCAGTAACAGATAGTACTTGTGACTTTTAATTTGTTTGCTTTTCACCATGCTTCTTAAGATTAGTTAAATATAGAGAGCAGTTCATTGCTGTTTTTGAGTAGCTTTTTTATGTATGAAAATATTGTTCCATTCTAAGCCAATTGAACAAATTCATTTATAATAATGAAATTGCGCAAAGGAGACAATCAACCACGAAGACAAAGAAAAAAAGCAAAGACGTTCAAACTCATAATTCCTTAGTCCATTGTCCCAACGTTGAGAGTACGTAGAGTGAACGTGGTCATGGTTCGGGTTGATCCTTGATTCTGGGACCTCCAGGTTCGAACGAGAATTTCAGCGCCAGTAGGGGAGGCCTGATGCCCCGGGATCTGCACGACATGTTCTAGATGATGTTTAAAGATCCCCGCATATTATCATTCCTTTTCTCGGCCACCGTCCGAAAATCATAATAGCACTCCGTAGTAATAATGATTGGAGAACCTTCGCTTCGGTAGTTATTCTCAGCAGTGTTAGGGCAAATGCGCCAATTGCGTTTGTGAGCCATTACATTACTTATTGTTTGAGTGTTAGGCAGCAAATCCAGCGGTGTCTCGGTGGCTCAGATGTTTCAGCTTCTCAATGCTCAGACCTCGAGACAAAGAATTTACGTGATAGAATCTGTCGAGGACATTTTAGTTTGCTGTACCTGTAGCGACGACGAGTTGTTGACAGATGATGGGACGTAAGAATTTGCCCAGTGTCACTATTTGTCTCTTAGTTCCTTCGGGGAGCCTTGGAAGCGCCTGGTCTGCTGCCAAGTATCTCAGCAGAGAGAGCATATGCTAGATGATCCTTCGTAGGCTTGACCCGGTGAGCGATTTAGGGGATTCACCAGGCCGGTTGAAATCGAAATCTAGCCATCTCCTACGGAAGAGGCATCGCTCAAAAAAATTGACTTTCTGTCCAAACCGTTTTTATGATTCAATGAGAGGCGACTTTGCCTGAGAAGTGAGGAGTGTGCCTCGAAAAAGCAATGAAGTGCTGCGCCATCTTTGTGTGGCTGAGGTGGCTAGTGAGAAACAATGTGGAGGATGTGGCGTGTTATAGGTGGATTCTACGATGTGCAATAAAAAAACTGTCGAAATTGTCTACCGTCCATTCTAGACCTCAGAATACTTGCGGGTCCGTTCGCCAGCTACTGTCCAGATGATCAGGACGATTACACCGTAGCCCGCAATTGGAAGTGCCACTTGGCTCCCATTGTTATCGAATTCCAGCTTCGAGAGTCGAGGCTTCAGTAGAGCAGCGACATCTATTCAGTTCAGTTTCGTGATATCTTTACTCTCTAGGTACCCCAACTGTGGGGACGTATGTGTCCATGGGTGGAACTAGATTGTCTTGGTTCCTTGGATGGCGGGGAACGTCCCGCCTCCCGGGCCTAAAGTTCCATGTCTCCACATCTGTCCTCCACAGTCCGTTCCTTTTGCGCTTCACTTTGAAGACAGAGGCGAACTCTGCCAGCCTCAAATAACCACTGAGGAAGGGCCGCAAAGCGAGGTACCGAGGAGAAATACTGACAGTCAACCAGACGGGACATGATCTATTTGCGGCAATGCATACAAATAGCTACCTAGGGATCGAGGACTGACTTGCTGCAAATTTTCTACCTAGTAAGGTACGTATGGCTGCCAAGCAGTCAGTAGTCAGTACCTACCTATTATGATACGTAGGTCAAGAAGTATTATTGTTCGGAAGTCTCGCAGTTGACGCACGCGATTTACAAGGTATCAGCCGTCCAGTTGTTGAGTTTCAAAGTTTTGAAATCCGCTTTACTCGACAGGTAACTTGTCAGAGAACCCGGCAAGAAGCGAACAATCTTTCTTAGTGTACCTAGAATAGCATAGTAATGTAGGTACTGTTGGTAAGGTAACTATGGACAGTGCCAGCCAATAAGTTTTCTGACCAAGTTGACAGTGTGACCACTTCGCTGACGCCGAGCCTACGTTCAGAACTTTTTGCCCGTTTTTTACAAGAAAGAGGGGGCACTGATCTTAAGCGTAATAAGAATTCTTGTCGTCTTATTTGCTAGGAACGATGATTACACATGAGGTTGGAGAAATGACGTTTTCCTTTGCAAAGATCTATTCAACACAATCTTTTCTAATAATTAATATCACTCATCTTCCTCAGCCACACTCGAAGCCTTATGGGTTTTATCTCTATGCTGATTAATGCTCAACCCTCAGTCCTCGTAGCTTAGTTAGCCTGTAGCCGTATGTCATCATGGTTCATGGTTGTTACACCAGCGCTTGCCTAAGAAAAGAGATCATGCTGCACCATGACTAGATAGAAACAGTAAACAGGTTAAGAAGCATGTATCTAGGGGGCTTCTTTGACCTGCAACGTAGAGTATTTTTAGTTGGGATATTCATTGCTGGGATATCGCAAAGCTTTGCACTAGGAGAGGCAAATGTGAGATGACAAGGCAATTGAGGCTCTGCTTGTATTTCAAGTACTCCTGGAAATAAAAAGCATTGTGGTTGATCCTTCGCGCTATAAACGAAGTACTCAGTGCAGGACATCGGCAGTACGAGTACCTCAGATCGCCTAAATAATCTGAATTTGATACGTATCAATTCACCCCTGCTAGTGAAATACCGTATAGTACGTGCAGGGACCTGGACGGGAGTGAGGCGAAGTCATCCATCACATCCCCGAATACAATCCTTCGTACGCCAAGTGAGATACACTATTATGACAATTCATCCTGCTAACCTCGGTGAGAAGTCTAATCCCTAGCTTCCTCTGTCAAGTGTCAACATCCTTCGAACACCTGTTCCCCACTTAAGGTGCTCAGTAAATGTTCTCTGATAAAAATGCAAACCTGAGGGCAAGCAAGAAGATGTTAATGTGCTTGTTCCGAGCTAGTTAAGTTCTTATGGGCTTATCATACCCCTACTGTGTTCAAGTTAAGGTGCATGGAGCAAAGTCAGGCAGGCATGGTCAAGTAGGCTGTACCTTACTAGCTTTCCCATGTGGGTGCTTCACCCAGGTAAAGGAAGATGAGTACCTGATCATCCCTCTTAATGATGACATTTCCCAAATTTCTCTATTTCTCGCCATCGTTCCAACTTCATTTACCCACTGCCTTCAAAGTAAAACATTCTATCCTTGCAGGCATTCTCTTACTCTTTTACCAGCACTTAGTGACACTCTTTTGTACTCAACGTGATGTTTGTGTATCGTTAAAATCGTTGCTTTTTACAAACTGTATGCCCCGTCTTTCAGCCGAATCTTGTTTTCCTGAGTCTGTCACTTATGAGACTCTGTACTATTTTGCTTCTGATTTCTTCGACGCCCTAGCATCCTGTCTTTTGTCGATTTATTGAACCTCCGTTGAAAGCTATCTTATCATGGATCCTCTGAACAATGTCCATATCAATGATGACTTCAACTACGAGCAAGATGAAATATACACCGGCTCCAATGTCATCTGGCGTGCCATCCATTACACTGGCCCACCCGTCCAGACACTGGGGGGTCATTTAGCTCCAGCTCCGACCCTCGACATGTCTTTCGTGAGTCAACCACCCACAAGCGTGTTTTGTCGATCCACTAAAACGGCTGGCTAACACTGTGGCAAGAATCATAGCCAAACTCCATTCTTCTCTCCGGTGTCTCCGTCCAGTATCGGCAGTATAAGGGGGCCAGCCCAGTTGTCCGGCCATGATACAGGCACCAACTGCAACTTTGAGACACTTGAGGCACTTGACTTGACTGGCAGCAATTTGGTTCCACCCGAAGTTCCACTGTCACAGGGTGATTATGCTGGCCAATGGCCAACTATCAGATCTCTCGACGCAGGGCCCGTGCAAATGCCGTTGAAGCCCCAAGACGCTCTCCACAGCCCGCTTGTGAAGGTAAATCAACTTAAGAACGATCTTCAAATATGGGACTCATTAGCACTACAAGCCTTGCCCGAACTCAATTATTCCCAACTGATCGACCTGAGAAGTTTCATCAAAACTACCTTCTGCAAGCTGGACACATCAATACAAGAGAGACTTGACCTAGGTGCACCCAATATACCTTCTCCACGAGATAGGTACCTTTGCAAGCTATGCAGTCAAGGCAATCGGAAGGTGTACGGAACTCGTGGAACGTTCCGGCGCCATGTGAGCCTTACTCACCAAGCTGAGCACAAGTACTACTGTCCGTTCGATGCATGTTCCTTCAGTACACCTAGAAGGGACAAGTTCCGTGGCCATTTGCAAGTCAAACATGGTTCCTTTGGCCCTTCTCTACTGAACAAGGGCTGCCTCGATAACCTAGCCCGGCCATGCCCCCCTCCAAAAAAGTGTGGGCTTTGTCCAAAGCAAGTAACCACATGGAAGAGATATTTCGAGTGCATCACGAAGCACTGCCGCCTACCTGGTGGAAGTTCTGCATACAGCAGCGCGAGCCAGAGCAGACGAGGCAGCGGAAATACTGGCGGAGACGGGGCAGACTTTGGCGGCCAGCAGTTTTTTGGTCCCAGCGGTAACGACGGATCAGGTTTCCCGCCGTCGTCTTCATTTGAAGGAGACAACGTGGATGGACGCGAATTTGACTTCAACAGTATTGGCCAGCAATTCAGTTTCCATGGTGCCAGCCTTTCTCAACACAATACACTAGCCAGCATTGTTGCTGATACTGTTGATGAAGCCGAGCAAAGCCCCCCGCATGTAACCAACGCTCATGCTCGTACTCGTCCCAACTCAGTACAAAATAAAGACGGTCCCAAACACCTATCACCCGTCCGTAGTCCAACAAGCTTACGAGATTATCACCGCACCCTGAGTTCGACCCTAAAAGAAGGCTCACCAGTCTCTACCAAGAGCGATTCTAGTCTGGACAGCTTCCAGCAATTGTCTGCCACCCGGAATACACCACATTCACTGGATAGTCCTGGACGAAGTCACACCTCAAACGAACGGCCAAGACCAACTGATGAAAACACTCGAAAGAACCAGTCAAGGAAGCTTGAGAAGTCTTGCGAGACAAAATGCGGACACTGCGGTCATACCGTGCAGAGTTGCACTCATTGTAAAGCCTCCAATGGGGCGGCGCGAAAATGCCACCTTTGCGCAGCTAAGGCTCACCAGCGAAGTAACCAATTACGCCCCTGGCATCAGGAAAGATATCCTGATCATGCGCATATTCCTAGGAGATCTTTATCACCACCCTGGAAGCTTGGTCGAGAGTTGGACTTGACTTCAGAAGTCTTTCAGCATGAGCTATTTTTGCAAGAGTCAACAAAAAAGCTCAGCACAAAGTCCATTATTTCTGCCACTCATCCGGCCTCTATCTTTCCTTACGCTGTTTCCCAGGAGACGAAGTCATTGTTGGTCCTTCACAATAACTTACAAAGCCACTGTCTGGGTATCCTTACTGCCAAGCTTGAGAGTTATGGCAATCGGCCATTCCTGCCGTGCAGTCAAGGTAGTCATGCTCGTTCTGGCACTTATAACACAAGGACATCCTGGGGCCTGCTAAAGGGACATGATATCCTTACTCATTCCGCAGTACTCATGTCGGAGATGGCTACCCAGCCTTGCATAACACTGACTGGGAGACCGGCCACTCTTTCCATAGCTTCTGTTTCGCATGCGCTTGGCCTTTCGACATGGACTAGTGAGTCTCCAAACGCTTCAACTTGTAATTGACATAAGCCGTCGCTGACTGAAAGAAACATTAGATGTCCCCGACGGCGTGGCCATAGCACTGAAGAAGTTACCTCTATTCAGGACAGAAATCCAAATGCAGCTCCTGGATGACGCGTTCGATTCGGCAAATCCAGACCTTACAGCTACAACAGTAATATTACGAAGAAGGTCACATATGCTTCAGACGAGGCTCCGTGTTATTGTTAAGCTGCTCAAACTCAAAATGACGGTCACGAATGTCATTGAGCTCGAGGCACCAGAAGCACATGTACCTCGAACATCTCAGATTAACCCAGAATACCATGGCCTCGTTGAATTCAGAGTCGATCTTCCTATGCGCGACGACGCCCTCTCACTTTCCCAACTATGGAGTATGATGATTGGTAATGCGGGGATGATTGTTGGAAGCTTCGCGTCCACAGCACTCGATATCCCCAACTTGAATGATGGGAGGGATGATCTTCAATTTCTTTTCATGATGCTGGTCCACATTTTGATGAAGTTCGCTGGAGCCCCGATCCGTCCACTCAATACAATGTTGGTTGAATGATGATATGCTTCTTTGATGCTCATACGACTACGGGAATTGTTCTTGTATTTTGCTGGAACAGGCATTGGCATGACAGGCCTCGGAATCTTGTCGGACATGTCTACCAAATCTCCATTCTTCTCCTTCTTCTCCTTCTCCTTCTCCTATCCTTCTGTGCCATACGCAAGAAGAGCCGCAATGAAGCGGACGTAACATGTAAAAAAAGTTATTGAATTATTTTCTTATGTTATTGACTTCATAATCACAGAAATGAAACTATACCCTCTCATGTTACTTCATGTCGGATCTTATGCCAAGTCATTTACGCGCATAGACCTTTCTGTAAGATGCTCACCTACCTCATTTATAGCATGCCATGCTATTATGGTCTGCTGTAGGCAAATACACAGTAAATATGAACAATTTTAGAATAACACAATGGGAAGGACACCATCGGGGCTACCTGCGGCAATGTAGATTGTGCCATAATCCCTGAACTGTGCTGCTAACCTATTGCACCTGCAGCAGGCAAACAATCTTCTACCCACCACTCCTCCACAACACGTGTCTGCTCATCCTCTTCCTCATCCCCATAGACATTTTTTCTTATTTCTTCCGGCAGTCATTCTGCACACAGTTGGCCTTCATGCAACAGCCACGATGGACGACATGCTAGAATGGTATGCCAGTCTTAGCTCCCAAGTTCTCGATCTGGTGAGTGACTACGCAGGACAAGAGCTGTTTTGTCTTGAGGGAGACTCCGTCGTGCTTCAGTGCCTTGACGATCCTGCTCTTGACTTTAAGTGTACGTTCTCTACTACCACGTACCTTGAGGTTTCAGTATCATTTACAAGCTCGCAGCTGGGTTCCAGCTCCTGCAGGGCGTTTACAACGTTGAGCGCCTTCTCTTTAAGTTTTTGTCGACGAAATGCAATTTTCACATAGTCTTCTTTGATGGTACTCATTTCCCTGCTGGGCAGAGGACCCCGAGCTGATATTTACTGATTGGTGACTAGAGAACCAAGGGATTTCTACCAAAGCACCCTCAAATATCAATCGTTCCAAGTATCAGTTGGCGCGAGAGATTATCTATCAGCATCTCAAGATGCATATTCAGGATCAGTACCCTGACCTTCAAGTTCTCCGGTTTTCCTCTATGAGATCTCCTGAATTTCACCAGTATGTCGAAACGTACAGTGTCTACTTCGTCATGTGCCACAATGGAGTGCTGCAGGATAGACGTCGGCTCATCGATGATACACTTCGCGTTATCGGTAACATGATGACTCTTGGACTGGATGTGGCAATCATCAATGAGATCGAGTGGCGTGATAGCAAGGTTTGTGTTTTTTTCCTCTGTTGGTGTAAGATAGGAGGCTGTCTGACGGAGTACTATGAGTATAGATTCTGACCAGAGTCATTCAAGCGAGCTCATCCACGCGCCAGTTCATTGAATCAGAAGCGAAGGACAAGACCAAGAAGCCGCCATACTTTTCTATGTGCACCCAAGTTCTCCAGTCTATTGCAGAAACAAACGGTCCTCAGGTCAGTTTGGCAATGACTAGTAGGGAGGCTTTGACTGTGGCAGTCGCATCGGTAGTCTTGGCCCAGAATCGAAATGAAGCATCCAAACTGATGATAGCTATCCTGCTATTGCATCTGGCTTGCCTCAAACGATTATCTCTGCAGCAACGAAGGACTGCGAGGCTCGAGATACCAAATGAGGGGATGTACAACAAATTCGTTAAAAATTTCAGCAAGGTAGCAACGACCATACTTCAAACAAACGAATGGAATGGCTTAAAAACAAACAAATCCTGGGGAGATCTGCATGACCTATTTGATGGCAGGCTTTTTAGGTCTTGCGCTGCGTATTACTCGGTGGAGAAAGTAGCTCAGCTGAGCAGCCTCATCAGTGACGATTGGCATACTATTTGGACCTGCTTGAATCGTATCGAAGAACTAGGCGGTCCCGAAGTATTCTTCTCTCAGAGCTATCCGTACACGGCGACCTTGCAGAATAAAGAGCCCGCCTTCAATGACGAACATGAAAACGATCAAGACGATGAGGAGGACGAAGAGGAGGACGAAGATGAAGGAGACGAAGAAGATCAATATGATAAAACGGATAAAGACGATGCAAGAAATGAAGAGGATGAAGACATGGAAAGCAAGTATGCCTTGTTGCCGTTCGAGCACCCAACATTTGATCAACATCTCGCCATCGTACGCGTAGTCATCCAGAACTCGCAGGAGGAATATCCCGAGAAAGGCTTCGAGGATAAGACGCATTGGCATACTCCACGTTTGCTTGATTCCAAGCGAAGGACACTTCCTCAAAAACCAACAACCAAATGGAACAATCCTGCGCGACGGAACCAGGAAAGATTTCGAGACTTCACCAAATACGCAGCCAGTCTTACCAATGCCAAGGGCAATGCGCTCGAACAACAAGTGATCATGTCATCAAAGATCGCCAAGGCTAGATTCATGGCAACGGAAGCTCCTCGAATTGCAAAAGCTAGACCTTCATCATCAGGTGGACGATGTCAGAGCTTTCTTAGATCGGCAGGAGAGCCGGAAGCGAGTTTTCCTCGAGCCCGAGCTCCGCCTATACCTATTGACTCTCCTTGTGGTTCTGTGGCAGAAAGAGACCTCGCCTCAGGAAGAGGATAAGCTCGTCGCCTCAGCGAGGGATGTCTGGGACCAAATTCGAACTCTCCGGCACAAAATCAACTTCATGACCCACGAAATGTATTCGATGTTCCATGACATATGCTGTAAGCTAAGCATCCATGATACACCATCGCCGTCCTCCTCTCTTCCGTGTCGGCAGTTGTGTTTTCATTTCGATATTAGTTGCATTAAACTACGCCAGCTGGGTGCGCCACTTACCTTTCAAGCCTTTCAGCTGCTCCATTGTGGGCCATTTATGGATCGCCAGACTGGCGCACAGCCCGACGACCGCGTGGGCTTTGAGCCGGACAAATGGCAGAAGGATGTCCTCGATGAGCTTGACAAGAACCATAGTGTCTTCGTCGTAGCCCCAACCAGTGCGGGAAAGACATTCATCAGCTTCTATGCCATGTCGAAAGTGTTGCAGGAGGACGACGCTGGAGTCCTGGTCTATGTAGCTCCAACAAAGGCGCTGGTGAATCAGATCGGTGCAGAGATCCATGCACGTTTTCGGAAAAGGTACCCTGGTCCTGAGCAGACAGTTTGGGCTATCTCTACTCGCGATGTTCGCATAAATGATCCTTTGAAGTGTCAGATCTTAGTGACAGTGCCTCACTTTCTCCAGATTGTAAGTGCAACGAACTCCGCTATCACTCGTCCTCTATAGCGTTTCTCGACTGACAGTAGTCTTCAAGATGCTTTTGTCCTCATCAAACGCCACCACATGGGCTCCTAGAGTCAAATGCATAATCTTTGATGAGATTCACTCGATAGGCCATACCGAGGATGGTTTGGTTTGGGAGCAACTCTTATTGCTCGCTCCGTGTCGTATAATCGCTCTTTCCGCAACCGTGGGAAATCCGTCAGAGTTCGCTGATTGGCTTCAATCGACACAGAACAACATGGGGGTGACTCTCAAGCTGATTCAGCATACGCAGCGTTACTCAGACCTTCGGAAGTATTTCTATATGCCGGCTGATCGTCCCTTCGTAGGCCTCTCCCGATCGAGGCACAAGGGCCTCCTTGAGCCCAAATATATTGAGGGCTTGCAACCCCTTCACCCAATCACCAGCCTTCTCAGCAAGCAGCGGCAAATTCCTGAGGATCTTTCCCTTGAGCCGAGGGACTGCTATACACTTTGGAGATGTATGGTAAAGTACTCATCAGTCGATTTTCCTGTGCCAGAATCTCTGAGTCCACAACTTGCCCTTCCATCGTTCATTAGGCGGAGCGATGTGTATGAATGGGAGGCGCAGCTGAAAGAACTTCTATCGACATGGATGCAGGATTGTCACTCTCCGTTTGAAATGGTGCAAAGCGATCTGGAGGCTATCTTCGCACCAGCTCAAAGATTGAACATTTCAGAAAGCAATGAAGAGAACCCGAGCGATCTAGTGGCTCCCGAACGTCAACTCACGACAAAGGAGCTATGCACATCTGTGTTCCCACTCCTCGTGGATTTGCATTTCCAAAATGCCCTACCTGCTCTGCTTTTCAACTACGCACGGACGACATGCGAAAAAATCGCGACAACCACTCTAGAGCATCTAGTCAAAGCTGAGGACAAGTACAAGAGTGGTGCATCATGGAGGCAGAAGGTGGCGGAGTACGAGAAATACAGGAAACTCACGACCAAGAAAGCTCAAAACGGTGAGAAAAGCAAGAAAAAGAGCAATACTAAACAATCTCGAGAGGAAACTGAGAGCACCGCAAAGGATGTGGAGGAAGATAATAGTCCATTCAAGAGATTTGACCCGGACAGGCCTCTAGAGCAATTTTCGTTTGCCGATACTCACAAGTTCGACTGGAGTGAGCTTCTCGAGGAGATAGAGATGATGAAAGGGCGCAAGGTTAAGCCTCTGCTACTTGAAGCTCTGAAGAGAGGAGTAGGCGTCCACCATGCTGGATTGAATCGTCGTTACCGCCAGTGGTATGAGAAGTGACCTCCCTGATATGAGAATTGGATATTAGCTGACTATTTGCACAGCGTTGAGAGGCTATTTCGCGCGGGATTCTTGCGTGTCGTGGTAGCCACTGGAACGCTAGCTTTGGGTATCAACATGCCGTGTTCGACCGTGGTTTTCTGTGGTGATAGCGTCTTCTTGACCGCGCTCAATTTCCGTCAGGCTGCTGGTCGAGCAGGGCGTCGAGGATTCGATCTGCTCGGAAATGTCATCTTCCATGGCATTCCCCGTCACAAGGCATATCAATTGATGAGTTCACGGCTTCCGGATTTGAACGGGCATTTCCCTATCACGACCAGTCTTGTGCTTCGACTGTTCATCCTTCTTCATAATTCCAAGGAGTCGCCATACGCAGTACGGGCAATCAATTCTTTGCTGTCTCAGCCACGCATTAACTTCGGAAGTGCCGAGTCCAAGGACAAGGTACTCCATCACCTCCGCTTTTCCATTGAATATCTGCGACGCCAGGGCCTTCTCGGGAGACGCGGAGAGCCAATTCGCTTGGCTTCTAGCATTGCGCATCTGTACTACACTGAAAACAGTGCTTTCGCATTTCATGCTCTTCTTCGTGCATGCTACTTTGAGGAATTGTGCAAGCAGCACCGGAAGAACACCGAGAAGAAGCTGAGGACGTTGATGATCGTGCTTGCCCATCTATTTGGAAGAAAGTCTCTCGGCTATCGATATGAGGAACTTCTGACCCGGAGACAAGAGTTGAAGTCTCCCTCGGTTGTGCTGCTGCCGCCGCTGCCACCGAATGCCGTATCGGCGATTCGAGCCCATAACCAGAGCATTCTTAGGACGTATACAGCGTATGTCGAGACATTCGTCAAACAGCACCTGAAAGAACCCGAGTGTGAATTGCCGCTTAGCAAAGTGCCAGTCGGGGGTAGTGGGGACCGACAGCTCAGTCGCTTGCTGGGGGTACTGGAAGCGAATCAATCACGTTCAGCTTTTGTTGGGCTCTCGGGTCACGGTGATCAATTCAAGAGCATGAATGACCTCTGTAATTCGGTCCGGTCGGGCGTGTTTCTCGAGCAGAGTGTCATACCACACCTTGATGTTTATCCGGATGGGGGTATGGCACCTTTGAATGCCTATTTGTATGACTTTTTCTCTCACAGATGTGTGGAACCCCTTGAGGTCGCCAATTTCATCTCTCGTTCTGACACGTGGTTTCTGCTGAATGACTTCTCCCTGATTCTGGCTACGATCATTGTTTCTCTGCAAGTATATCTCGATCCCGAACTGAAGAGTTCATGTTCGGAAGAAATGTTCGCCAGTGATGATTCTTCGTCAACTCCTTCGGTCGAGGATGGAGAAGACGAAATATTCGATGCTCAGTCTGCGGGTCAAAACGTCGAGTCGAAGCGCACTGATAACCAAGTTCCTCAGGTGCGACAATCACTTGGAAATACCAGGGCCACGATTGACGAGGAAGTGGTGGAGAAATGGGACGAAGGTATGAGCGATGACAGTGATCCCTTCTCCGACGAAGACAGTACCACAGAGGCTCCAGGTATTCTGCATGAGGACCGAGCTTCAATGGTGTCGTTGGAGGTGCTGAGCGCCTTCCGCGAGTTAAAGGAGCAGTTCGACGAGAAGTTCCATGCTATCTTCGCTTAAAGGAATATGCAGATGAAGTTTCAGATCATCTCCTGATGGATGTTGCAAACATTAAAACTTCTGGCGACCACGTCGAAACCGTCTGATTGGTCCTGAGCATGTGTGATTTTTGCGTGTTAAACAGTTAAGAGTATTGGAGATGCACTGAAGTAAAGCAAAAAGAGGTGTCTGGACGATCCGTTCTAGCTACAGTAGTTTTGTAACGATTTGACCCATCTCCAAGTTCCTGGAATGATTCTTAGGTCACTACAGGCACCTAGGTAACTAGCGATAGACATTGTCATAATTAGAGTTCGGCTTTCCATACCAATAACGCGAGGGTAGAGACTGGCTTGGTTAAGAGCTCTCTGCTCTTAAGGGCTACTCTACTGACTACAAAAACACTCGGAGATAGGGGTTAACGGAAAGCGGAGAACCCACCGGATGACATAACCCGGAGTCGGTGACATATCGATAAGCAAGTTAAGCAACAATGCCCCAACCCACTCAGATCAAAGAGGCACGGAGACTTACTTCTTTCTTGTTCATGTTTGAAGCTGCAGAGATATTGGAAACCGGGATGATACGTTTGATATAGCCTCCCGCCGCAACAGTTGATCACATACCTTACCGACTATGAATCCATCTGATTCATCTTCCGCTGGTGGTAACAGGTCCGAAGAGTCTCCGCCTCGGAGAGTCTCCGGTACGGTGTGGCACCCAGCTAGAGAGTGGCTTGAAGAGGACGAGGAGGAAGATGACATGGATTATGAACCGGAGTCCGAGGTTACGGAAGATAGAGACGAGGATGAAGATGGCGAAGGTCACTTCGGTAGCTTTCCCCGCGATGAACTGCTGATCTTCTGTATGAGACTGATCTTGGGTCGAACAATTTGAAGACCCTCACTTGCGTCTAGGTAATATACATATTGAGTTCTCCATGGATGATCCTGATCAAGAAGATCCTGGCGGAGAAACTCAAGAAGGTAGACAGACTCGAGGTATCATTTACCCAACGACCACTCGCATTTACCTCCTTATCGACACTGACTGGTGCAAGCAGTATCAGCTGCTCGATTATTGAATCTGTTAGCTTCCAATGGTCTGCGACATATCCTCCACTACAATGGGTGGCGAGGGGGTATGTTAGGTGATGAAGATGAAGACGACGAAGAGTTCGGTTTCTTGAGATATTCACGCAGACCACGACGTTCGGGAGCTGAGAACTTACCGAAGGTTCCAAGTGATGAGGGTACAGAACTCATGCGATCCGGTGATTTCGGAGACGATCCTTACTATGTCGACATGCTGAAGAAACGCAGAAAGACTCTTGCAGCAAAGATCATGTGGAGAGAACTAGGAGTTGACGTATCTGGAAGGCAGAGACTGGGTGTGCAGTCAACTGCACAAGTAAGTTCTCGACCTCGTGCGATGGAAAAAAAAAAGCTTTGTACTAATTGGGTGGGCCTCTTAGGATCTGATACCTGGTTCCGCCGCAGACAAGATCATTCATTATGACTCGCGATGTTATTCGGGTCAATTCTCTGATGACGGTAACTTCTTCTTCTGTTGTGCGCAGGACTTCAAAGTCCGGATGTACGATACATCTAATCCATTCGAGTGGAAATACTACAAGACTGTCGACTATCCATTCGGCCAGTGGACCATTACCGATGCGAGCTTGAGTCCGGACAACAAGTTCTTGGCATACACCTCCATTAGAAATATCGTCTGCCTTGCACCGACAGACCCAGCTGATCAGTCTGACCCTTCTGTGTTGGATCTATCCCTAGGCCGTGCTGGGCGGGGCTTCCACGACAGCTCGCATACTGCGGTGCGCATCCCCGTAGATGACTGTCGCGTAGATGCTGACCAGGTAACAGATATGGTCAATCCGATTCTCGGGTGATGGACGCGAAATTGTTGCCGGCAAATCTGACAATTCCGTAATTGTCTATGACATTGAAACACGGCAGTCTGTTCTAAGTCTACAGAAGCACGAAGACGACGTCAACGCCGTCTGCTTCGGCGATAAATCGTCGCCTCACATTTTGTACTCTGGCTCGGATGACTCCACGATTCGTGTTTGGGACCGGCGTTCCATGGGCGACGGCCGCGAGGCTGGAGTGTTCATAGGTCATACGGAAGGTATTACATATGTCGACAGCAAAGGAGACGGCCGATATGTACTTTCCAACGGGAAGGACCAGACGATGAAATTGTGGGATTTGAGAAAGATGATGACAACGGCGAAGTTTGCAGACATCGACGTGAGCAGTTATACCACCGGTTATGATTACAGATTCGAGCCCTATCCCGAAGATTACTACGAGCCACACCCACACGACTGCTCCGTTGTCACGTTCCGAGGTCATCGGGTTCTGAAGACGCTCATCCGTTGCCATTTCTCGCCGCCGGGTAGCACAAACTCGCGCTACGTTTACACCGGAAGTGAAGACGGCAAAGTGTATGTTTATAATCTGGACGCAACGCTTGCGGGCACTATTGATGTCGGACTTGCAACTCTGAATTCGAGACCGCGCGATCCTGACATATTCACCACGGCGTATGAAATCAGGAGTAGGAGCGGGGAGATGCTGTGGAGGACCTGCGTTCGGGATGCGAGTTGGCATCCCAACGCGCCAGTCCTCGCTGGTAAGATCATCCTTTCTAACTCTGGAAGTACACTGGCGGGATGCTGACTGTAGTTTAGCAACATCCTGGAACGGCTGGGGTTTGTCCACAGGTACCTGCAGCCTGCATAGCTGGAACGATGGTGCTGCTGATGACGAAGGTACTCCATCGATCGGGAAGAGCTACGATTGCAAGTTAAATTACTTGCCCGAGTTCAACCAGTATAAGGAAAAATCGGTGCGGAGTCGGCCTGTCAGAAGGAGTCCGTTGGACGAGGAACTTGCATATGAGCTGTGGTGATTTCTGTACATAAGAACAGAGTTTCGTTATTTCTTCTCTTAGACTACATTCTTCTCGGGAGTACTCGGATATCTGTTCACATTCAACTGACAGATCGCATTAGGGGATTGGAGCAAGCACATAGGGAACCACTATCTTGAGACTTCGAAATGGTCTCATGACAATTGATGTATTGTAAGAAGAAAAGAAGAAAAGGTGGTATTTATACAAAATTGACGCAAGGGCATAATAACTCGAAGGCAACTGCTTGCCAATCTCTCTGGAGCATGTTGGAACAATGGTCTTCCAGGACCCCATATCGATCTTCGCGATTTTTCTTCATCTCTGGTAGATTAGGAACTCGTTTAGATCATGTCGCCGCGCGATTGGCTCTGTTCAATCTCGGAGCATCCTCTTTGCACCTGCTTCATGGTTGCATTTGGATTTGTGGCCTCAACCTAAGCGCCACCGACGAGGATGTTGTTGACGGGGATGTGTACTGTAGTGAAAAACACATTTAGCAAGGGCCGTCGCATGCTTCCAGGACTCTGTGGTATACTTACTTAACTTGATGAAGTACCCAATGGCTATTCTAAGAGTAAGCATCTCCTGAAAAGTATTGGGGTGTTAATGCTCTATAAGGAGGAAACTCACCACCCTAGACGCAGTTAGTATTTATAGGCCCATAAAGGTATCGCACAATAAGACGAGAAATGCTTACCATGATGATGAAGCCCATGCCTACAGCCTGGCTGATCTTGATGAATTCACGCTTGTCGGCTACGCATTGTATTAGATAGACTCGTCCCCGGAGCTTTATCAAATTTAGACTTACGCTTGGTGCATCTGCGCACGAACAGCATGCCATCCCGAAGGAAGTCGCGAGGAATATCGGCGAGTTCTTGAATGGTGTCTGACATAGTGCTGTGCGAGCCGGACAGCGACGTGGGATAAAAGGAGGGACAGATAAAACCAGTAGAATGTGAGAAGGTCAATAGCTGGAGAACCCAAGAAGCGATAAGTGTGAGAAGGTAGTAAAGAAACGGCGGAATGGAATGAGGGAGAGAGGATGATCTTGACAATAAGTCACCACGATGCTTAATCGACAGATCATCCCCTAACAGGAGAGCTGGCCTTCTGGGGTTCGGACTTTTAATTCCGCCGGGCCGGGGGAAGTCAGCTCCACAAGCTCCAATCGACATCAAAGCTACCGCTTCTCTCTTGCTATCGCCGTCGACGCGCTTCACCACGTCTTTGAAGGGATAATCGCTTATCGTGCTCGCTCAATCCTCGACTACAATCTCCTTTGCCATTTTTTTGTCGCCACACTCTGCGTCTGACCGACATTCGACAACAAGTTAGGGGGATCAGGCTGGGATCCTGTTGACTGCCTGGGCTGCAGCAGCCTTGACGAACCTCTACTAATCTTTCAAACATCTCAGTCTATCTACTAACTCATTACCTCTGTGATTTTGTCTCAAGGCCTATACCGTTCGTGTGTGTTAGCAAAGTGCCTTTGCCAGGCTGTGGCAGTCAGGACTCTGCGCAGCGCCTCAGATTCTGTTGAAATATCTCCGCACGCGTCTCTTTCCATTATCGAAACTTCTGATACCTATTTTGTCTGTATTTGGAACGCAAAAGAAGAGGAGAGTGAGAGGAATACCTACGCCCTGTGTCTCCGTTCAGGAGCTGTCAAATCTACGAACTGGTGGAGACTTTGTTCCTTTTTGAAGCTGTGTTCGCTTCGGATTGTACGTATCTTCGAGCCTTTTTCTCATACTGTGCTGCGCTCGTACGTCTTGTTTTTCTTCGCTATTTGCACTTATTTGGTTTACTTGGCTCTGCACTACGGCCCTTGCCCAGGGGAAGCCAAACGTTGCTCAAGATTCCTTCCAATCAACACATGTTCTTTCCTTGCTAATGAAAATCTGTGTGTGCAGACATGTACTTCCAGTGACTGATCGAGGCTGAAAGAAGAACCAAGAAAACAAAGATTGTATATTTGCACAACATTCTGCCTTGATATCACGATCTATATCTAAACACGATGGCCACTGAAGATGATAACTTCGATATTGACATCTATGGTGACGGCGGTGGCTACAACGCCAATGACCAAGGAGACTATATCAAGCATGAGGACACAGAGCTGATCCTAGATGCACCAGAACAGACACAAAACGGCGCCGCCGGCCAAACCGAATCCAGTACAGAGCAGAAGGCTCAACATGAGCAGGGAGACGGCACTGGTGCCAACGGTGAACACGTAACACAGGCGCACGACGCCCAGCAGCAAGAAGCTTCTCAAGCAGCGCCGGCGCCGCAACAGGGTGTAAAGCGCAAGGAACACGACGATCGTCCGTCGGATCCGGACGCTACAACTGCTTTACTCATTTCCGACCTGTATTGGTGGACTACTGACGATGACATCCGTGGCTGGATCAATGAAGCCGGGTGCGAAGATGAGCTCAAGGATGTAACGTTCAGTGAGCACAAAGTCAATGGTAAAAGCAAAGGGTAGGCCTTCTTTTTCTGTTTTCCTGCGAGTTTTGCCATGCTAATTATACAATACAAATAGCCAAGCGTTTGTTGAGTTTACCACACTCCAAGCTGCGACAGCTGCCAAGCATCAAATTGAGAACTTGAATGTCTCAGGTCAAGGGGGCCGTAAATACATGGTTCATTATACCAACCCTCACACAAATCCATTCCGCACACTTCCCAAGGACGCCCCTATGCGCAAGGACAATCAGGCCCGTTCACTGTCAGGAGGTTTCAACTCACCGAACCAGAACATGAACTTTGGCATGAGCAACATGGGCGGAGGCTTCCGCGGCGGACGGGGAGGTTTCAACAACCGCGGCGGTATGAATAACATGGGGGGTTTCGGGGGCAGAGGCGGCTTCCAGAACACAATGGGCGGTTTTCAAGGCAGCCCTATGGTCGGAGGCTTCCAGGGCAATCCAATGGGAGGGATGCAGAACTACGGCTTTAACAACCGTGGCAATATGATGGGCGGTGGCATGCGCGGCGGTCCTGGCGGAATGCGCGGTCGCGGTGGTATGGCTGGGCCGAATATGATGGGAATGCCAGCGATGAATCCCATGGGTGGTATGGGTATGAATCCTATGGCTGGTGGGATGAACCCGATGATGGGTGCAATGGGTGGGAACATGGGCATGCAAGGTGCGTCAAGCTGTGTTCGATGTCTTGGAGACTCTGTCATCGTTGGTGGAGGATCGTGCGTTTTCTGACATGTCTTTTACTAGGAGCAGGCGGCTTTCAAGGCCCCAACCCAGCTTTCAATCAAGGCTTCTTCCCTCAAAACCAGGGAGTCAACGATGGGTCGTGGAACCCCCACGGTGCGAAGCGTAGTCGGCAGGAGTAGGGTGATGCTCGTCTGCTAACCAGTATTCTCCTTTTTCGTTTCTGCCCCAATACATCGTTATTCTCGCGTGGCATCTGAACCTAATGGTTGATCATACTCATGTGTACCAAAGTCTTCTTTATAACTCTTTCGTTTGCCCTGGGCTGCCCTTTTTTTTTTTTTTTTTTCTTCTCTTCGTTGATTGTCATTACTCGAACGGTCTATTGGGGAATCTGGCTATTCATTTTCTGCGGGCCTGCAAGCTTTTTCCAAGGTGTATTAGATAAATTGAAAGTGTCTTGTTTCCTTTTCCAAGTGTCTGTTTGAATGACTTCGTCTCCTTGTATTGAAGGACTCTTCGCTCACAGTCGCCGGTATATATGCCTGGACCTGCGAGGCCTTAAGAGCCTCCCTTATTGAGCATTGCATTGTTTACTCTGCCAAGCATGCGCAGTGGTGTCATGAGGTTCCTAAGACGCCAAGTTACCATTTAGTGGTATCTAACCGTCATTCAACCTGTGTTCCATAAGCACACGAAACCGCTGGGGCGTCATTCTGAGGCCTGAAATCTATAGCGCTGAGCTACTAGCAGAGCTAGTGAGTGCCTTTCGTTAGCATCTGGCGCCAAAGCGAGGTATGAGACCGAGATTCTGCCAGCCCTGAGATCCTATTCGGAACGCTTGACAACCTTCCTGAATGTTCAATAGAGGATGAAAGACACATAGGCTGTGTCCTTGAGACAAGTTTGGCCAGACAACTTCGATGAATGGAGAATGAGGTTATACTTCACTCACAGTCATACATCATCGTGACCATTCCTCGCTTGATTATCCCGCCCATTCCTTCACAATTCCCTAATCCTCAAGCTCTTGACTCTGCCACGAAGCGATAAAAGAGGCAGAACGCAGGCGATACAATCATTCGTCTCACCACTACCCCTAATTCGAGTCCAATATGTCTCACACCTCCAGTGACCCGGGATGGGTTTGAATACTGTATACAACCATGAATTCTACGCCATATCGAATGATAAGCCCTACCGTCGCTACAGCGTCGCTGAACTCAAGGCTTCTTCTTCTCGTCCTCTTCGAAAACGTCCGTCCAGGACCAGCCTGCTCACTGGTACCGAGCTCAACTCCTTCATAATTCAAGAACGATCCTCTGTCTGGCAGGACGAGCATCTGGTGTGAATTTCAGATGGTGACCTGGACGGCATTCTCTTTATGCCACAGCGCCCGTACCAAGTGGCCTCTTCAGGCGAAGGTGGATTCTTCAAGTTGCGCGGTGTTGATCAGGTCAGCGGCGAGGTTTCTGCAAACCCTAGCTGTACTAGCGAGACGAGGTTTCTTGGAAATGGAGAAATCAAGGGGACATTCAACAACGTGCCTGACTCGAATATGGACTACATTGACTGCCACTTCTGGGGCAATTGCACACCTGACCAGAATGAGACTCGGGCTCCTTGGGATGCTTGGAGTATGAGGGACGAGAGGCACACTATCTGCGAATAGGCTCTCTGGCTACTGGTTTCGAGAATTGACGATGGGTGTTTGTGCATTAGGAGCTGCAGGAGGATGCAATTGGCTCCTAAGGATTTCATTTCTGGGTCTTTAGTTTCTCGACTAGTCATTCGTAATCAGGTAGTCCGCGACACGGAATCACCTCTGCCTTAATGATTCGTCCTTTCTTGCACTTGTGCCTACTTAATTTGTCCATTGAGTCATTGACCATTGCGTTGACGGATGCAGGATCGGGATTTCTTGATAAGCAATAGATAAGAACCCCGATAACGGAGCAATGATAATGCGAGCTGTCACCCGTCACTTTACCCAGAAAGGTCTAGAAGGAGACAAGGATGATCTATGAATAATAGCACAGAGATCCATCTGCCCTCAGGCATTCTTGACGCAATCGAGGAAAACTGTCTCTCCCACTTCTCTACTACAATCTCCCAGATCATCCATCGTAACAGTCTCAAGACATCCACTCCTTCTCCTCGAGAGAGCGCGCGCACCTTGCAACAGTCGTGCTCCTACCTTACTGACCAGTCGCAACATCCATCCTTCCCCGCGGTCCTTTCCCCCACCCGATCAGCGTCCTGTTTATCTTCCCCGTTCACTCTTGGGCGCGCCGCACAAGACACCTCGTCATCCACAATGCAAGCCGTCCCTGAATCGCGACAACAAACGTTCGAGGAGATCTACGGGCCTCCCGAGAACTTTCTCGAGATTGAGGTACGCAACCGACAACTCTCATGCCGAAACTACCCCGCTCTATCAAGTCACCGACAAATCCCATATCATATTCGCAATCCGGCTCACCTACAATCCAGTAACAACTCGAGACTAACTGCACATCGTACCCAGGTCCGTAATCCCCAGACACATGGCACATCCCGCAACATGTACACCTCGTACGAGATCGTCTGCCGAACAAACATCCCCGCCTTCAAATTGAAACACTCAGTCGTGCGCCGACGGTATTCCGACTTTGAATACTTCCGCGACATCCTAGAGCGCGAAAGCACGAGAGTCACGATCCCGCCCTTGCCGGGGAAAGTGTTCACGAACCGGTTCAGCGACGACGTAATCGAGCATCGTCGCGAGGGTTTGCAGCGGTTCTTGCAGATCGTTGCCGGTCATCCGCTTTTGCAGACTGGGAGTAAGGTGCTAGCGAGCTTTATACAGGGTGTGTTATCTTCTCTTGGTCTATGGAATACGAAGAAGAGAAGGGCTAACGGCTGTGTAGATCCAAACTGGGACCGCAATGCTTGGTGAATGATACTTCCAGCGTGATGGTTATCTCGTTACCATCCAATTCGGCCATGTCCTTTTCGTTCTCTCCTTGCAACCTCTCAATGGCCAACAGCGTCTCAGATATACGTCGTGTTCGCTGCGGTTTCCGCTCTAGCGCCCTCTCGCCCTTCCCCTTCCCAAGACCCATACGACTGTTGAATTCCACCTTTGGTTTGTTGCGCAGGAGCGCAAAAGTGTAAGCTGCGTTTCTCTGTTCATCTCAAGACACTTTGGGGGGCGGCATCTCTTTGTTTGCTACTGTTGAAGTACGGCGACTGTATGTTTCCAGACTTCAGCTCTTTTGACTATTGCCGTATATCGCACTTGGTTCACACATCCCATCTGCAATTTCTCGTTACGTTGTGATTGCCGCCTTGACAGCATGGCGAATGTCGTGGTTCTGCTAATTCAGCGTTAATATTCATTGCCCCAATATGAACTTCTGCTACTCTACTTTAATTCCTTCCCTCGGTCAAGTAAGGGGCGCTGTGATAATCACACACGTCCACAAGGTCTACGAGGCCGTGAGAAGACCTTTCTGAGAGGTGGAAAGGAAGTAATATCTTGATTCCGGAGCATTATTATCTGTCTCGTCCCCGGTAGAGGTCTAGTTTCTTCTAGTCTCTTCTATATTTTTTTTTTTTTTTTCTTCCCTTTTTCTTTCCGTTTCCTGTTCCCTTTGCTGCCAACGCTGAGCCGGCATGGATAAAAGGGGTGTTTCAAAACAAATTAGCAAAACCATCGTGTACTGCGGGGTATTGGTTTGATCAAAAACAAAGCAATTGCGATAATGGGACCGAACGAGGCGAAAGGAAAGAACGAGAACGAGAGTGTAAAAGGACCCGACAATGAAGTAAGCCTGAAACGACAACGAGTGTAAGTGGGAAAGTTGAAAGATGATGGGGAGCGAGAGTAAGAAGGTCAGTGAAAGGCCGATATGGAAGAAAGAAGGATTAGGACAGCTCGTCCCAGACCATCGGTGCGAGGGTGTTATCGGCCCAGGATGCGTCAACGCCGGGGGCATTCGAAGAGTTCTCGTCCAGTGGGAAATGCAAAATGGTAGTTCCCGCTGGGGGATTTGCCGCCGCCTCGAGCAAACCCTGTGGAGGAGCAGGGGGGGAAAGGGCCGGATCAATAGGTCCCAAGGAGACTTGGTCTGCCCAATCAGTTTTACCGCCCCGTGCGGAGGACGTGGATTGCCGAGTAGATTGTGTATTGGGTTTTATGGGAGGCGCTTTTTTTGTATTCGCCAGGCCTACGCCTTGACTCTGGCTATGCAATGATCTACCATTGACGGAGCCTCCGTCACGATACGCGTGGGGAAACTTAGTTCGGAATCGATCTCGAAGATCAGTTGCCTTCCGGTGGCTAAGGTTCAAGCGTTTATCTTGCTGGATGAGTGTCCATTGGAATCCGTGGACGGCATACCCTTTGAGTAAAGCTTCGTCTTCAGCGACGGTAAATGGGCGGCGGGAGCGACGCCGGGATTTCATGGCAATATGTGGTTCAGGAATGCCGAGAGAGGCAAGAGTGGATTTAGATCTATTTGAAAGAGTAGGAGTGGCCTTGAAAGACGGCCCGTATTTCGAGCGGGACTTCGAAGTTTTGGTATCGGCTTCCGAGGACGAGCCTGTAGAGGCCGACTCATTCACATTGGTCATTGAGCCTCCATTGGACGTATGAGACTCGGAATTGGTCGGCCTTGGTTGTGGAAGCAGAATCTTTCCAGCTGTGCCATCGGAACCTTCCGTCTCAGCTCTGAGGAGTGCATTGGCCAGCGTATCGTGCAACTGCTTTGTGGCCTCGTTCGGGTCGGCAGCGCTATACAAAATTAGAGGCTGCAACCGAAGAATGTGAAAGTAGAAACTCACCGATATGCCCAGGGACAACAAACGCGGAACCTGACGACGCAAAAGTCGATGTTAGCTCTTGGCTTCGGAGACTGCGTCCACATCATACCTGTCTTTCAAATTTGAGGCACTTCGTTTGTTGAATTTCAGTTCTGGCTGCGCCAAAATAGCCGTCCAGTTACCGATACCGCACTTGACCACCCCGCGAAGTAATGCGGTCGTCTCCTCCTCAGTCCATTTGCGAAGATTCTTACGGGAGCGGCCCCTCGTCTTTGGAGAAAGCGGCTCGGCATCATCCGTAGGTGGGGTAGGAGTCTTATCGGATTCGGATTTTTCACTGTCACCCTCGGGTCGATCAACGGTCGCCCCGTTCGCTGAAGAGTTTGCTTCCCCAGGGTCTTGGTCAGCACTGGCAGTCTTGTCATCGACGGGGGAGTCAAGGATATCCTCGATTCTCCCTTCCCTTCGTTCAGTCGTCTGAGTAACCGTCGCCGGAGTAGCAGTCAATGTAACGGACTCAACAACAGCGGCATCCCGCGATGGTTTGGTGAGCAATTGCGTGATTGAGCCAGGTTCGATAGGAGGCAGGAGAGCAGCGTTTGGGGGCGGTTCATTCAGCCCATTGAGAATCGCAAAAGGTCCAAATGGCGGGGGTCGATGTTCTTTCTGCGCCTGAGGGATCGGAAGCTGCAAATGTTCTCCGAAGGAATCTGTTTGAACATCTAAACGGCGACGCTTGCGAGCCAGAGAGTCATCGTCGAACGAGGAATACGGGAATCGTTCCAAAGCTCGTAGGTTGACAAAAGCTGGTAATATGGTTTTTGGAGGGGGCTCCAAGCTCAGAAGCGAGTCCACCGCATGACCGTTCTTCTTCGACTGGGCGGCGTTCAGGAACTCCGTAAGAGTGGGGAGATTGGCGGGCTGATTTCCGCCAGGCGTATTGGATTTGGTGCTGGCATTTGGTTCGCCGATTCCACTGGTGTTCGGCTCGAGAGGTGATGGAACGCTCAGCAGACGGGAAGAGACCGGCTGACGGAGAGGAGCAATGCGGAGACTTTGAAGCTGTGGAAGTTCGCGAAACTGAGACTCATCAAGAGGTCGGGATAAAGCGCCGTTAGTATCCATTGTAGGGTTTCGTGCCGTCTGAAATGCAGGTCACAATGCGATGATGGACATCACCGAACAACCAAGAGATGTTGCACAGTCCATTGTGACGAGAGGCATTGGGAACTCTACCATCAGAAGAAGCAGAAAAGCAGGTTAAGAATTGCCCGAAATCCTGATGGAATCATGATGGAACCCCAGGCAGCATTACGGGAGGGAGATTGTGCCAGAAGCGCAGTTCCGGTTTTCGATGCAGATGACTAAGGCCGCCATGACGGGTCCATTGGGAATCTAGATCCTTGGATTTGCCCCGGAAACCTGCATATTAATCAATTCACCGGAATCAAGGTGATTCAGAGAGGGCAGTATACGGATCAGTTTGAAGGGCAGGATGAGTATTCACTGTTTTGAGTAAGGGGGCAGGCAGTAGGCTGACGATGAGTACGAACACCTCAGATCGGCTCATATCTACTTCTCTGCGCGAGTGCCCTCTTAGTAAACAACAACCAATAACTTAGCTTCATCTCTCTTACAGGGGTGTATAGTCAATTTCATCATATCGCGCATCTTCCGAATCAAGTCTGTTCAATTCATGCCAAGAATCGATTCATCAAGTGTGAAAATGTCCACTATTTTCCCAACTTGGCCTCACATCCTCTTTGCTGTCATAGAGCCGATCACCCTGTACGCCCTCACTGCCATCTACATGCTCCATTTTTATGCAATCGACTAATAGACACAGCATTGGGGGTTGGGCTTTCC